GTTTTTACCGCAAGTCTCTAGCCACAAATACTCTGGCAATTGTTACTTCTCGACTCTTATTGATGCTCTTGGGGCGTAGAAATTTCGTGGACTATTTTAAAAATTTCCAAAGCACGGGTCTCGCATTCCACTATATTCGAAGGTACGTGCCCCAAAATAACTTTATTAAGGTAAGTTATGTTGTTGAAAAAGTACTGATATTTTAATTTTGGGGTTTTTCTATATGTTAAATTCGAATGTGATTTTAGTATGGACTAATTCTTAAAAGTTCCGTACATACTTAATTAGAAGCTTGTATACGGCACGAGAATAAATATCTAATCATTAAGCAATTGAAAGATTTAAATTTAAATTTATGTATTGAACCCATTCTTAACAGACATCATTAATTAACCGACTACGTGATTTGCTTTAAAACTAACCTCAAACCTTAAACAAAAGTTGTCGATATGAACACATGTACCTACGTCACCAAGTTTAAGTTTCTATTCCGGGATAATGTACATGGACTGCTATTTAACTATTTACGATCAATTTTGTGGCCGCTATTGAGAATACGTTCATTACTATATAAAAGGAATCGGCCAAAAATAACTGGGTTAAAATCTGGTTAACGAGGCACGAAAGCAGTTGCAAAAACTGATACACCATTATTGACGCACCATATGCGTACATAGTTTACTTAAAAGAAACATAATAATCGCCGATTATCATGCAAATTATAGTCCTTTTAGGACACGACCCGCCCGCTTGATTGAACAAAGGCTATCTGAAAATCTGCTTTACAATACCCGTCGCGTCAGTGAACAGGAAACGGAAAGGGTGGGCCACGAGTCCCAAAAACGGAAGAACAAAGTCGAAAGTAACGAATCCGACACCTGGAATTCTAAAAGGTAATGCGGGAAAATTTTGGATCGGATTTTGGGGTTTCTGATTTTATCGTAATACAATAGTACCGTAATTGTCGATCGGCGGCAGAAACTTATTGTTAGCAGTGTCTTGCCAAGAAATGATTTCCACATGATCCGAAACGAAAGAAGGGATTTGGCACTTGAAAACAGCAGTGTTCCCTTTAATGACGAACACGTCGTATACTTGGGGTTCGTAATACTGGCTAACCACTGAAAAAACAACAATATTGGATTATATGAACACTTCAAAGCCACGGACGCTTGTCGATTTACAAACGTAGCATATAACGTAAGCCGTATATCTTAAATGTTTATTATGCACAAACCACTTTCAAAAGAAAATTTGTTTTCTGAAAATCTGAGTTGTTTGGACATCTGGATACAGCTGCAACGTTGCCTGAAATCGAAATCTGTTGCTACAGTTTTTAAAACGAGCTTGACGTCTAAAGTCTTTTTTTGGTATCGATTGAGGTTACTACCAGATAATATTCAATAAATCGACTTGTATATTAATTAAAACAAAAGTTGTGATACAAAAACCGGCTATTGTTAACCTACTTCAGTATTTCAGTAAACTTATACTGCCTTCATCATGTATTTTTGGCTTGGTTAATATACATTTAAACTTCAAAATCTTTTGAATCTCAAAAGGTTCGAGTTGAGCCCTTTATTATTGTTTGATTTTATGAATCGTTTACCATTTTAACAGATCTGGTATTCAATTGACTTCCCTACAAATCCCATAAGTGTCATTTTTCTGGACAATGTGTATAGTGCATTCCTCTGGATTAGGTAATTTTTAAAGATAATATTTTGAAAAGGGCTTTACCTACGGCTTGTCAATTACATTTTCCTTTATTGTAACGGTAAAAAGCGTCGATGAGGAAACTTGACTGAACGTAAGCCTATATACTTTCTAAATAGCAATTTAGTTCTCTTCCATATGGTGATAGATGATGATTTTAGCTTTTCTGAAATTGATAATAATTACGCCAAAGGGTACGACCACCAAATATCTTTACCACAAACAAATAATCACAAAAATTTTATTTGTTTATATTAGTGGCTGCTTCTCCACTAATTTGTATTTTTTAATACCCATTTTAGAAAACTAATTGATTGTCGTGTTACCATATAGCGATTAGATAATATGGTGGCCCTACAACTGTAAAAATTGATGCGCCGCATGCAGCATTAATATTTTCGTAGAGAAGGAAATGATTTGCCCCATGCATGCATTTCACGTATCAACCTGCAATTTGAGCCATTTTCTTTCTAAACAGCGACTTAACTCGTTTTCCTAGAATATTTAACGGGATCTAGGCTTATTTGACAAAGTACTGCCGTAAAAATGTCGCATCCAAACTAATTCAGGATCGGTCAGCGGCATTCTTGGTTGTTGAATGCCGCAAAGCAACGAGATTTTAAATGCCTATAATATAGGAACTTATGACATGACTATGAAAAAACATTTGCGAAGGTACAATCAACATGCGCGGTCATTTCAAATCTCCTTCTCGACCAATAAGATCCAGCGATGCTCAACAACCAACATGGCCGCTGACAGCCAATTTTCAATTTGGATGGGACTGTTTAGGAAAGTTTTTTTTCAAAGCATGCTCAGATCCCTTTAAATGTGCAGGATGAAACGAGGGAAATGTGCAAAAATGGCCGTTAAAGTGCAGGTTAGTGTGCAAAAATCAAGGGCATGCGCTGGAGACTGTGGCGTCGTTTTGTCGTAAACTTTTAGTAAAATTTGTCTACTCTTCCAGTAAAATAGCACTTTCGGGAATTGACGTACTTTGTGCTTTTTTTAGCAATAATTTTGTGTTTGACAAATATCTCCCGGATATAACAAAACGTTTCCATCGCTATTTGCAGATTTCTTGTACTTTTCAAAGTCGAATATGAGCAGACATTCTGTACGTTTAACATAGGCAAAGTGTATATTAAAATTATGTCAGTAGATTTGCCTCTAGCGTAGCCTCGAGATTGCGCAACCGATGCAAATAATCCCCCGCATATATCTTTCCAGTGAAAAGAGATGAAAAATATACACGGATTGGAAACCGGAATTCGGGGTACGGATATCCGAAGGATTGGAGAGAGAATTTCGATAAAACTCTATCGGTTATTTTACCAAATTTATTTTTCTCTTTGGTGTCGTAACGGTAGGTTGATCTACCGTCGTCGGCAACCCAGGCTTCGATTTGAACGAAATCGGTAACGAAACTAGGCACCACGCACTTCAAAATGCCGGTGTTGCCTTTAAGTACGAACTCGTCCGTAACTCTCGTCTCGTAGAACTGATTTACGACTGTAAGAGGTTCATTAATTGTCAAATTCTGAAGCTTGAAGCCTTTACAGGTTCCAAAAAAATTTGCAAAAAAAATTGTGTCACGGGTCTTCACACCCTGTATATATAAGAAAATTAAACCCCGATTCTTTTAACGTGACTGTTTTTACACAAAAAGTGAAATTTTCCTTGTCATAATTATCTACAGAGCATTTCATAAGTACAAAATATAGAAACTAGATTCTGCAAACATTTAAAGGAAAAGCTTCTTCATTTTAAATAATAATTAATGGCCAATAATTGACATAATGTTGAGATATTGCACATATTGCAAAGAAATATTATTCCTCTATTACCAGAAATATGCCACATTTACACTATACGTTGCTGTCTCTATTGTTTTTTTTTTTCTATATTATATACGAATAGTTTCAAGTTGTTTAATATAGAATAACCCGTATTTGGGTAAAGAAAGAATATTTGAATTTGATTTTGATTTATAATAATTGCAAAAATCTTAGTGAAACATCCTGTTTATAAATCAAATTGTAAATAAAAACTCTTTACTTCATATTATTCGTCCATATCACTGAATAATTAAAAAAGGTTTTTATACTGGATTTTAAAAAAAATCATTTTATAGAAGTTATTTCCGTACGTTTTTTGTGTTTGCGTCTAAGGTTTGCCCATTTACTACAATAGAAAAGGCAGTAATAAATTTGAGTGCAAATTAAAAAAATAAAAAAAATAAATAAAAACCGTAATGCACATTAAATGTACAAGCGATTGTTTCTTTTTTATTATTTATATTGAATCTTATAAATAAATTTTTCACAGCATCTTCAGAAAATTAATTGACCAAACCTTTTCTATTTGCATTTTCCTAGCTCTGCTGATACAAGCCACCAAGTGGTTTACGCACATTATAATAAAATTTTGCAAAACAAAAACAGTCTACGTCACTGTCGCTATTATTATTATTTTTTATTTCTACATATATTCAATACGGAAGAGTTTCTAGTTATTTAATTTTGATTCACCCCTGGATATAAATTTGAGTGCCGATTAAAAAATATATATGTAAAATCATGCTTACACATTTTTTTTTAATTATTTATTTTGAATCTTATAAACAAATTTTTTACAGAATCTTCAGAAAATTGATTGACGAAATCTTTTCTATTTGTAAATTCTTACCCTTCCTATACGAGGGAAGTGTTTTACGCACATTGAGGTAATTATAATAAAACTTTGGTTAGTTTGCTGGAGTAAATGTTATTTAATCTTATCGTCTAAAAATTGGAGACTAACCATAATCAAAATTCCTTACTCCATAAGAAAAAATTATTATTTCGATTGGAAATCTCCAGCAAATATGGCGCCCGTTAGATATGAAATAAAAACATTTTACATTTATAACGTGAACTTTGTACAAGGAAAACTCCTAATATATGCGCGTCTGTGTAATGTCAAAAAATATGTACTTAATTCTAACCACTTCAGCCCAACGGGTTAAAAAGAAAGAATAAATAAATTAAAACCAGACGTAATACATTTCGTTTTCCTCCCACCAGCATTATTGTTATTATGACAACCTAAAATTCACTACGCTCCCGTGTTAATTAACATGGCGCTTTTGTTGATGTGCGTTCTTGCGTCGTCACGCAAGATCCACGATTTTAAAAATGCTTTTTTCATGTTTAGCAACGATGCAAAAATAAACGGTGACATCTGGAACAACTCGACTCCTCGCATGGAAAAATTATAAAACGATAACAGGAACTGTGGTTTACCCAAATTGGAACTGTCTCGCGTTTCGTAACTAATTTCGGTACCATCGTCAGCTACCCACGATTCGATCTGAATGAAATCGCTAACGAAACTCGGCACCAAACATTTCAATATGCCCGTGTTGCCTTTTAAGACGTACTCGTCGATAACGCGACTGTTGTAGAACTGCTGCACCACTGCGCAGAAAGCACCGAGTAACATAAAGGCAGTTGCTATGTGTTATACACATAGTATATAAACTACCCATTAAATATTCGCCAGAACAAGAAGAAAGATATGGTGTAAGAAAGGCAATTTCCTGTCATTTGAAAACAGCACAATTTTGTAAAAATCCACATTGTTAGCAGTTCTCACAATAGGTAACAAAACAAGGTGGCTCCGAAATCATTTAAACTGCCTTCCCACTTTTAATATCATCCCTTAAGTGATTAGGCAAAGATTCTAATCGACTTGGATATAGTTTCTTCTCAAATGTTGCAGCAATGATAATCAATCCCCGAAGTAGAAAAACTTGGCTCCCAATAAGCCCAAACTTCTTTAGCATTTAGCAACTCTCAGTTAAATAAATAAGCGTAGTGGTTTGTTTCTCTATTCTAAAACAAAGATCTGCGATTCGTAGAATTTTTCATTGATGCACATGTACGAATCAGAGAGAGTAAATTTACATTTAGCTCATTGTCAATATATATTGGTTTCTTGTGTTATTTTCAAATTTTTAGTGAGTCTTAACTTGTCATTTGCCGAGAATACTAATTTCTTCGACCAGAGATTCCAGCTTTATTGGCTCTTTATTCGACACTTTTTAAAGCTTTTTTTAAGGTTATTCATCAACATAAGAAACTATCTTCGAATAATATTCTAAACAGGATATAACAGTGTCTCTAACATTGTTTGTTAGTATAACGAACCGATGCTAGTAAGGAAAAAATCGAAAAAAAAAACGATAAAGTGTCATCCATTTGGAATTTGGAAAAATCCAATGCCAAGTATGCCAAAATATACTTTACTTTCACTCACTCTAAAAACAATCCACCCTTTTTGAGAGTGCAGAAGTTTTGTTCAAACACCGATGGGGATGCAATTTAGAGTTAACACAAATAATGACCGATTGATTCCCGCCAGGTTCAATGCCAACTTTATAAAGTATTCATCGCAGAGATGTCGTCAATAAACGCCCATTAGCTCGATCTGCCATGCTGGAAATTGCTTTATTATCGGCTCGGTTCCAACGTATCCCGGAAAAATCGCTTTTGGATATCTGGAAGGATCTCGCTACAAGCTTCGTCGAGGAGTAATGAGGTCTGACAGGGTTATTATGTGGCCAGTCTTTATAATAAGTACCGAAATTTTCTCCGAGAAGGTAAGTGTTTCCTTGGCTATCTTGCCAGTTTTCCACCATTACGAAATCGGACACGAACGAAGGCACTTCGCATTTCATAATGGCGGTGTTTCCACGTATTACGTATTCGTTATCCGCTTCCACTTCGTAAGACTGTGCTACGACTACGAAAAAGGGAGGTTTAAGGAAGAAATTAAAAGGAAATAAAATGTAACACAAATGTTAATCGTAGTCCTATAGAGGTACAATTTTAGAGTCTACGACTAATGACTCTTTAAAGTGCCGCTTGACCACATTTAATATGATTTAGATTAGATTTAGAACGTTAGAACCTTAGAAACAAAATGTAACATTTTAACAAATAGTATTTGAGATCGATAATTTTTGTTTATTCGCTCATAGTCCAAAACACATTCCGCGGGTTGAATTCGGCACGTGCTCATCATTAGTTAGAACACGGAAAGACTCGAAATATAAACAAAATAATTTATAATTAATATAGCTCAACAAAAACATCTATTGAAATGTAAATTTAAAACAAGCAACTCATAATAAACATACATTACGTTATGAGAAATAGTTCTATCGCCACGCGTGACGAAGCTTTGACGATGAGAACAATCCCAAGAAAATACTGCTCGTTGTATATATCGACCGCTCGCACGCACATATCTTTTTAAGTAAATCTTACACCTATAGGAAAATATTAGTTTATTAGCCGTCGTGGAGGAAAAACACCATAGCGGCGTCAGAAAAATAGAGACAAAGCCCACCATTCTAGGACCAAAGCACATTTATATATGTATAGTATAACCCAAATTAGAGTATCTACAAATCACTATGGTTTTACTATAGACATTTAATAGTGTTCAGGAGTATGTTGTGATACTATAACGATTAAATCAGCTTTTCTCGGACGTTTTTTTTTGGCAAATTAATCGACGCTCCACAAGTTCATCTTAGTTTTGTGTTTCTGAGATTCTGAGAATAAATTTGCGCAACGAATAGAAAATTTCATCACATTATACCCTCGTATTATTTGGTAAATTTGATCGAGGAATGCGAACTCCTGATGTACTATGCCACGAGATTCAAAGAAAACAGTGCGACTTAACGTGCTTTTTTCGGTCTTGACGATTCTGGGTTCTTCGTCACCAGTTATGACCTTTTTGAAGATATCTGCATCATCATTGACGTCGTTTAACAGCTCTTGAGCAATGCTCCTTCAACGGTCCTTTTGTTCAAAATTATACAAATTCAGAAAACATTTTGCAGCTACACGTTTCATACCCAAAACTTCGGAAAAAATTGCATGTCCAGAGCGAAGTTCGTCATCGGCGTCTTCTCGGCCACTTGTAATTTTTTTTTGTTCAATGTTTTGAGCACTGTATTTCATTTATTACACAAAATTTTATACAAATTCTTTGTTCCAATTTTTTTACAGCAGAAAATCGCCAAGCACACAAAACACGTCTAACGCTTCTGACTCACAAGAAAATGTAAACGTGTAAACTAGTTAAAACTGTGAGCATATTACAGCAATTACAAAATCCACCTTAGTTTTTAAACACACCTCGTATGCTGAAACCCCCGTCGGGCAAATTCTAAAGCGCAACGCTTCGGTCAATGGAACGTGAAATATGCTTCCGATGGGTTCGAGTCATGAATTTCATTCTAATAGCTACATATACTATCCACCTTATAAAATTTAGTTATCTTAAACAAATAACATCGGCGGAATTAATATCGCTTTGACCCTGAAGATTTCGCTGAGCTACTAATACCGTTATCATTGTAAACGGGACTGAATTTTCTCTGAAAACACGAAAGTATCCGCACGAAATCTCACAAGCGAAAATTGATCGAACATTCGGACCCAAAACATTTTGTTCCCAAACACACATGCTACATTTGTTTGTACATCTCACGCCAAGTATCGTGTTACCCTAAGTATTAAGTTCCACTCCAGGACAGACAGGCTTAAATCAAAGGTCCCATTTGCGCCGCGATTGACGCGTTAGTAATACTGGAAAATTTTAAAGCCCGCATGTAATCCGATTATGGGTATAACGTTCGAACAACAAGGCAACATATATTAATATCTTGTAAATTAAAACCAAGCAAAAAATCGTAAATGACATCAATGTCAAGATAAAGTTCATAGCGGAAAGCGGACTAATCAAAAGTGATTAGCCAATAGGGAGATTAGGCATAATGTAGACATCGATGTGGTTCGATTAATTACGAGTCAATAAGTCATCTTGATAAGAACGAACAAGCTGCTGGGAGTAGCGTTAACCTACGCAGTCGTAGGCGGACTCTTCGAAGATTTGCTTAATCGACATTTGAATATTCAGTTCCTGCCGCCAAAGAAACAAGTTCTAGTTATTTTTAGAATCCGAAGTTTTTCATTTTGCTTGGTCTGATTTAAATAACGGTGCTACCCAGTACAAGCCCAGTTTATTCGAATATTGAATTAAGAGGTCTGCAAGAAATTTAAACTTCGAGTCGGTATCTTAGGGTTTTTAGCATCGAGGAATTCAAAGTTAAAAAGTAAAACTTTTTTTTCTTCAAGTTTTCAAGTCCGTTGCGAAAGAAAATTCAAAATTTGAAGTCAAATTCTAACTAATATGGCTTCCGTCAGCGAAAATTATTGTCTAACTTATGCATATGATTAAAGCTAAGAAACTATTTTGGTTTAATTCCAGTGCGTGAATCGATTCTATGCACGCCTGCAAGATTATTACAGTGTATCTTACAGGAGTGTTAAAAATCGTTACCGAACGCAGACATGTATTTAGTGATGTCAACAATACACTACTAAAAATCTTCAGGTGGATTGCCTGCATAAAAGTCACTTCTTGCTCTTTTTTTGTCTTGATTAAAATAATTAAATTAAAAGTGCCACACTGACTGAACGTTTTGGCAAATGACGTTTTGTTGACTTAACATAAATTGTTGATCTTCAAAATCATCTTAACCAAATGTTGATTTCATTTTTGAGTTTCGTTGAGTTTTTTTTTTCACTTTATAAAAATTCTCTGTTAGTATGATGAATTAAAAACTAGCCGTATTTATCACGAAATATATCCTTATCGACGACGAATTTTTATCAAGGTACTTCGGACAATAGACATGAAATAGAAGAAGGATTGCTAGAACACTATTTGTCAACAAATTGTGTGGCGGATTTTTCACATGGGTTGAACTTCTGACATATGAAGTTTCTTAACCATTGTCTGGTATTTATTGGTGCTGCCAAATATAGCCCTTTTAATTTAATTATTCTCGCTAAGAACGGCGCATCTGTCAAGAAAGACGTGATAAAGAGGTGACATTCATGCAGCAATGACGCCACTGAAATGTCTCTTGATGCACTTACCGATTTTCATAGGGATATTTGGAGTAATTTTTTACATAGGGATCAAATCGACCCTTAGTTTATTATTATTATTCGGAAAATGTTTAAATGGAAAGTATGGACCTCATTTTATGCCATTATTTCCAATATAGAAAATCTGACGTTACAATTAGTTAACTAACTTATAATTCACCTGGTGTTACTCCGACCTGATTCTTAATGGTTTTGATCATCTGGAAACTCTAAACGGAAAGGAAACATTCACCGAAGTTCGAAAGAAACTCAAAAAATACCGTAGTCGCTGTGGTCGTCGTACTTATGAACACGGCCTTGGTCAGAAATCCACGAATCGATTACTACGAAATCTGCTACGAATGAGGGTATCTTGCATTTCATTACGGCTGAATTGCCACGGATGACGTATTCGTTTTCGGCCTCGGTCACATAGTACTGCGACACAACTAGAACATATAACG